TTTATAGCTATTAGGTCTATGGGTGACTTTTGTGCTTTGCACTGTGGTATAAAGCATTAGATAACAATTATCAACAACAATTGGCTTACATTGTTTATAGAATAGAAAAAAGAATAAAATGCATCACAAAAGAAAATTGGAAACTTTATGAGACGGTATAAATTAATGTTTAGGTTTTTTTTTCCTGCTTCTCGATAAGTTTTCACATACAGTTTATATTTATCTCTCTAGGCAGATACCCATCCCATCAATCAAACCTATATATTGACTCCTAAATTTCTGAATAACCTACCACATAATTTTTCTTCTTTAGAAGTTCATTTCTAAAGTTTTCGAATTATAGATCAGTAATTTTACTCTAATATCCCTTGTTGGACTATGAGGCCTTCTGATTCAAAGAAAGTAGAAACACAGCAATAATTAAAAATAGGAGAAAAAATTCAAACTGGTCATCCTGAATCACTCATGTTGTCCAGGAATCTAAGGGGTGGAGGGGGCGGGATTTGGGTACAAGCAAATGGAGGATGGTGGAAGAAAGTATGTATAGGAGACAAGGAGAGTGAAAGATGCGTTTGTTTTGGGGGAGAGAAGATCAATCAGATTGAACTGCATGAAACTGCTGTTTGCATGGGCCGGAATGTTTGAATATTGGTCATTTCATATGGTTCAATCAACTGCAAAAATCCTAATAAGGGGTGAAGGAGTGAGAAGGAAATCAAGGTAAAAGTTATTTAAAGTCCTCTTTCTACTTGACTCCTGCTTCAGTGTGTTACAGGACTGATGAGCATCTTGCAAATGTTTCATGGAAATTCCACTCTTCACACGTCCAATTAGATGTCAGTGCTCTGAGGAGGAGGAAGAGGTGAGTGTTTCACATATTTACCTTCAAGATGGGAGCCATAAAGACTGAGAGACCAGTCAGAATAAACACAAGGGTTCCAGTGACTCTTTGTTCCCTGAAACCAAATCAAAAGATTACCAATCTACCTCTTGTTTTCATAAACACGCTCTTGTCTTTTCACCTTCAAAAAAAGACTATACATTGACCAAATTGATGTTTTGGCTAAAATAGCAAAGGTATCAATTATCATGTAATTAATAATCTCAAGGACAGCATAAAGGCTCAACATAACTATAAAAAAACTCTTTTAAAGCTATCGCAATATGTTATTTGAATTCATGAAGAAAGAAGTGATCCTGCTACAACTTTTGCTCCTTTTAGAAGCAAGAAAGAAAAATCCCTTGCTCTTAGTCCATCAATTACTGGCCTCTTTGAAGCCCTTATTTTTTAAACAACTTGTCTTGTTGTGTAATTACACCTTCTTTCATAGGAGACAGATATTACATTGTCCTACATTCTAATTAACAAACAGCTCAGGGAAATTTCATGACTGCCATAAATCCCATCAGTCTAATTTCCAAATCTACAATGACAAAAGTACTTTTTACCAAATATGATTCCCATCCTACACCCCACCCCCACCTCCCCCCAAAAGAATCACCCATTGTTGTGGCGTGGGAAATGACGGCTCTGTCCTGTGAGCCCTCTACCCAAGCACTCATGAGCAGGGTTTGCTGCAAAAAGTCCTCAACGGAGGATAAAAGTCTTCTACCGCCACCCTTTGTGGCTACCCAAATCTGATAGCTGGAGGTCAAAGTTTCTCAGTACTTTTGGGGACAGAAAATGAATTGGAAAAATAAGGATTCCTTTCCCTTCATAGAATCTTAAAAGTCATAAGCAGACTCAAGAGTTTTAGGGCTTTTCTATATGACTGTGCTAGAGTAATCACCGCAGCACCCAAATCACCTGCATGTTGAAGAAAATTATCTGCTTGTGTTTTTTATGTTTTACCATTTAGCCTTTCAGTCATCAACAAAAACGTATATATCATAAGAAGTAAACTAAAAAAAAAAACCAAAAATTCTCTTTCTGATGAAAATTTAGTCCTTTCTGGAACAGAAAATATAGGCGTCAATTAATCATCACCAGCCCTGTCTTCTCCAAATCTGCTCATTTCTTTACGATTGACACATGGATGTATGGAAAATGTGTTTTGTAGAGCTTTTTCCTCTGACTCAACACACCTCACTCCTAGAAACTTCGGCTGTTCTCCAGGTGCAGAAGTCTCTGTCTCCATCTTCAAACTGTCGATGTGAGCGATGGAGATGACAGTCGCAGCTACGTACCACGGAAGAGCCATGAAGGAGCACACAACCATGAGGATGGCCACCCAGAAGAGATCCAAGTGATACCCCGCTCCTTTCTGTGGAAGAGACAACAGAACCATGTGGAGAAAATACTCATATTCCCAGACGAGAATCAAGATTACCAAAAGAAACTGACTCACTTTGCTTGATGAGGTCAACTTCTTAGGGGAAAGGACTTTATCTTCCTCATATTATTCCCCCCAGCAATTAAACATACAGCCACCTCCTATAGCTGCTACAGTAGATGCCTCCTCTACTATAGCTCTGAATAATTGTTTAAGTTAGATTTAGGTCACAGCTTTACCTATTACTTGTGTATTGCTAATTAACCTCTCTGCATCCAATTTTCTTATCAGAACAATGGAGATATATGCGTACTTTGAAGAGGAGTTGGGACCATTCGAGGAAGTAACAGGCAAAGCATCTTGGAGCAACTTAAATAGTAGTCATTATGTAGCAGGAACTCAGTAAATGGTGACAGGAGCAGTAGTGGTACTGGTTGTTGTTGTTAACATGTTAACACCCGAAAGCAGGCTCTCTGCCTTGTCTGCTTGACAGTGTTCAGCAGTATGTTGTTTATCTAGATGGTACTCAGTGTGTGTAGATTAAAGATCCGAAAGCAACCTCAAGAAGACCTTGAGAATGTAGAAGACCATTTCTCAACTTTCACATTATATGAAAATAATTGTTTAGCAATATATTAACATCATCATTAAGGTAATAGCACCCTCTTAATCGGAATGTGCTGATTTCAAACATCATCTAATGGTCACAATAACACTTACTGACTGGAAGAGCAGACCATTTAACTAAAGGTCTAGCTCTTTTGCTCATTAAATAAATATTGTTAAATGTGTCCACAATGTTATTCCATGGTTCTGTTTCTCTGCTCTATTTACGAAGAAATCAAACGCTCGATACCCCTACAGAGCCTGAGAAAATAGAGCAGTCCATTTTCACAGCATGGAAGCAGCAGTACCAAGGGCCAGAGTATGACCAATCCAAGGAAATGGAAAGATTGACTTTAAAAAATGAGGCTGTGATTTATACTAGGAACGGCAGTGACTGTTATCATTCGGATCTGGTTACAGCACTGCGCTCCTCTCGCTGAAACGCCAAGATTTCACCCCTGGCTCTCACACATGGGTCTAATCATGTTCCCAGACAACTCATCGCAGGCAAGGGGAGCTGACGCAAAAAAGAAAAGCATCTATTCACTTAATCCAGGTTGGGCTAAGGACAAAAATCGACTTGAGAGACCAATAGGTTAATATATATTCATAAAACTAGTTCATTTCGAGAAGGCATAACAGTTTGAATTGGGAGTTGGGTAATGTAGGGGAAAGGAGGGCAAAGGTGGGATGGGCTGCAATAAACTTGCTCGATAATGACTGAGGATGAGACTGTCACACTCTATCTGGGATCTCACTCATTCATTCTTCCAGCGAGTGCTGACTGCCAACTCAGTCTCAGGTGTGGCTCTCAGTGCTGGTGACAGATCCGTGACTAAAACAGACAGAAACTCCTGCCCTCATGGGGTTTCCATTCTACCAAGGGAGACAACACTAAACAACATACATGAATAAACTATATAGTACCTTCAATAATCTTAAGTACTAAGGAGAACTAAAAGAACTTGGACTTGTATACTGAATACAACAGAAAAGAGTTGGAGGGTTTTCTTAATAAATGAAGGAGTGACAGGATTTGCTTACATGCTAAGCACTCTGGCTGCTGTAGGAACAGATTGAATAGGGTCAGGGACAGGAGACCACACAATCCATGTAGGAGACTGGGATGGTTAGAACCAGAGTGAAGATGGCAAGAAGCCGTTGGATTCTGGCTACACCTGGAGGTGCAGCTCCAGGACTTGTTCCTCCTGCCTGCGTGCATGTCTTACGACCTTACTGGTGGCCACTTGTGACCTGGCCTCTGGCACATCTGCAGCCTCACCTTTCATCTCCCCCCTGCCTGGTTGTCATGCCAACACCACTTTCAATACGCACAATTCCTCACATGTGTTTCTTTCACTAATGCCTACTGTGTCTTCGCCCACGTAGTGTCTTCTACCTGGAATAATCTCTACTCTCCCTTCTTCTTTCCTTGGCTCACTCCTATTTCACCTTAAGACTTAAATCAGCTTTCACCTTTCCTGGTAGTTTTTCCTGGCTCTGCCTGAGTGAAATAGATGAGTCATGTTAGGTTAGATCTCCTCCTTTGTATTCCCGTGTTTTCCATTTTATGCCTTCCTCTATCACAGTGCTTATCACACTATTTCTGAAATTATACGAGGTCTGTCCGGAAAGCACCCAGCCATGTAACCGTTCTCTTTATATTAACAATGGCCAGATAACTACCTCATATACGTAGTTATCTCTTTGACATTAGACTATAAGTAACATGAGGACCTGGACTGTGTCTTTTTGTTTCTCTGTATTCTGAATACCTTAGCACAGCGCATGATGCACAGTTGATTCTCAATAAATGCTTATTTGAAAAAACAAAAAGAAAGACAAACAGCATGTATACATTCTCGTGACTGGCAACTATAAAATCTTAATTAGCCGTGCAAAAAAAAGTAAAACTTTATTTGTTAATTGGTAAAAATGTGAAATGTGGGGAGAAAAAGAGGGAGGACAACAGCAGGAAGTACCATAGAGTTTCAAGCCCTATTTAGACCAAGTCACTCAAGTCCGTATCAGAAGTACCAACAGAGTAATTAATGGGCAGAATCTCCAAATCTTGTCACCAAAGATACTGTAATAACCTAGGGATGTGCACAGTGATGAGATCAATGGGTCAGAAGAACAGCTGATGTAGAAAAAGTCACACGTGCTACCCTGAACCACCTCCATGCTTCCTTGACCTATTTCAACTAAAACAAGTTTGGGTTAGATATCCTGAAGACTAGCAAAAAGGGGCCGCCTAATGCTAAAGAGGACAGAATGAAGATGTTAGAAAGTAGTCTATAAAGGTAACCATGTATAACCACCAGAATAAATAAATGTTCCTGGATAAAATAATGATATTATAGATACATAAGTACTATGTGTCCTTTGACATCACTGCCTTCAAAAAGCCTTCCTTCCCCTCAACCTCATTGACACTTTATGTTCCTAAGAGGGAGTGACAATCACCACTGTGACCTGAAGGCCCTGCATGGTCTCCCTCTCTCACTGCGGCCACACAGGATTCTTTCTGTCACTCGTTCTCACCAGGTTACCTCCTCTCACAGGGCCTGTGCACACACCTTGATTCCTTTGCTTGCTTGGAATACTCTTCCTGCCCTGCCTTATTTACCTAACTCTCACTAATGCTTTAGATCTCTACGTAAATGTCACCGCCTTAAGAAACTCCCTGCACCTCCTGGACTGGGTCAAACCCTCTCAAAACACTATCACCTTCCCTTCATGGCATCAGCCTTATTTGCAATGTCGCATTTTGCGTGATTATTTGAATTGTGCCTCTTCCTAGTAGCTCCATGAGGACAAGGACCACGTGTGTTTTTGTTCACCACTGAACCAGCAAGTGCCCACTGCAGGGTAGACACTCGAGATAAGTGTTTGATGGATAAATGAATGAATGCTAATTCATTCATTCAGTGACACTACACTAGACCCTAGAAGTAAAGTGTTATCTACAATACACAGTCCTTACCTGCAAGTGGTTTACTGTCGTGGCAGATCTGGACAAATCAACAGGTATCTGCAAAACCACAGTGTCAAAGGTCTACAGTAGGGGTGAATTCAGGATGCCATGAAAGCACCCCAGGGGAGGTACCCAACTCAGCCAAATCAGGGATGGTTTGCACAGGGAATGGTATGTAAGTCAAGTCCTAAAATGTGAGCTGTAATCAGCAGGGAGACAAGATATGGGGAAGCAGGAGAAAAACAAGGCAAACCAACGTGCCATTTTGAGAAAATGAAACAGAGTTGGTGCACAGGAGGAGATGGGGAGGTAGGAAATTAGGTGAGAGAAGTTAAGAACTTTTATGTCTTGCTAAAGACTTTGGAGTTTTTCATATAAGAGCAACGGGAAGTCACTGAAGTGTTTTAAGCAGGCAAGTGATCTGATCAGATTTCTGTTGAGAAGGATGGCTCTGTTGGTTTGTAGAGGACGTACTGGAAGTGGTCAGGATTGGAGACAGAGGACAGACTTGGGAACACCGCCATGATCCAGGCTTGAGACGGCAGCAGTTTAAAAACTGAAGTAATGACACTGGGGAGATTTTTAAGGAGATTGAGTTCAGAGAGGGAAAAGCGACAAATTCATTTCGCCAAATTTCAAATTGCAAGGCTTACCACCATACCACTAGGACAGCGTCCTACATACATTAAACTCTGGAGACATTTGTTAAACAGAGTAGTAAAAGCTATACTTCAAATGTCATAGTGCCCCAAACTATGGCCATAAGGACCCCAGAACCCAAATGGTTGTGTTAGAGAAATTTTTCCTGCAAAACAATCTATATACGTATGAGGACAAGCCACTTCTAAGACATCCCTTTTAGTTAAAAGTATCCGAATGACTAGATTTGAATGCAATGAAAATAATGTTGAAATTCTGGCACTTTTTATATAAAGAATACTGCAAGAAATACAGAGAATAATATTTTTTCAAAAATAACATGTGAAACTTTTTATCTGTTCTTTCCTCCTCCTCCCTGTTGTCACTACCTTTTGCAGCGTGTCAGGATCTCTCTCCTCCTGCAGCTGCTCCCTCACGTGCACTCAGCTCTCCCCCAACCTCCACTCGTGCACCCCTCCCATCCACCCTTGCTGCTGCCCAGTAAGTGCTTGAAGTGCAATTTGGACCCATCAATACCAGGCTGGGATGTTGCTGGGGGGTGAGGGGGGCCAGCAGCAGATGGGGAGGCCAAGCAGGACAAAGCCTCGCGCTCCATGCTGAGGCTCCTGCCACTAATACTGCCATGGGCCCCTCAAGCGTTCCTGAAACTCCACCGTTCCCTGAAAGTGCCTAGCACGTTCTATGCCTCTGTCGATTCCTGGGTGCCCGTCTTCATGCTGGCGTTCTGTTTCTACTCCTTGACATTTGT